CCCCAAAACCCCAAAACCCCAAAACCCCAAAACCCCAAACAGCCAAATTCAACTGATTATTAAAATGGAAAATTATAGCCAAAATGAACGAAACAGGAAGGTCCAGTGCCTGATCGATGAGATAATTACACTTGCTGATGAAGTCCATGCTGGATATGAAGAGGTAGGTCATGGCAGAGAAGCGATACAGCCAGCGGGGAAAATTTAGGGATTTGGAGTGAAGAGGTTGGGGCTTTGGGAAGAATGTCAAGGAAATTGAAGGTTTTGGGGCTTTGGGGATGTGGGCGTTGGGGGTTAGGTCTGTGGAGTCTGAGGTTAATGTTTATAGCAAATTGGGGTAACCCAAGCTTTTAATTCTAAGCAGGATATTATCCTTGCAGGACTAAGGTCATTGAATAAGTAAGTTAGCACATTTTAAGACACTTAAATATCCTCACATTGAGCCTAACTCTTTGTCTAGGTATCACATGTCTAAAGAAGACAAGTTGGAATACATTGATAACTACTCGAGCTTTCGTGAGAGTTGTGATGAGTCCATTAGTTCTATCAATATCTATGACCTCTCAGATCTTGAGACTGGACAATTTACATTATGCAGTGGAGACAGTCATATCATGATAAACCAGTATGAAGACATTCAGGCCATCGGAGAAGAAGATGAGTAAGTTTTTGAGAGAAATACCTTGATTTTTCGTACTCTAATCACAGGGTTTATTTCATCTAAATTATTGATAGTGAGACTGAGGCTGATGAAATAATAGATAGACAATTTTTCAATACTTTAGTGATTTTTAGACGAAAATTTAGCTAGAGGTAGCTTCTTGTTATTATCACTTGATTTTAAACTCATATTAGCTCAAAGTTACAATGGAGAAGGACAAGAATTGTATACCAAGAGTAAGGTTCTAAAAATCTTGTCTCATGACTTGTATGTAGGAATAAATAAAGATCCGGTCGGAATGGAAGTCTATTTCCTGAGATGCCTTCCAAAGGAGAACTTGATCCTCAGGATTCATGAATGCTCGAAGAAGTCTGTCCCTATTGATCAGCTTGAAATAGCTATGACAAAGTCCACTCTTGGAGAGATTATTGATTTTATGAAGTAAGTTCACTAGAATTTGTGACATCTTTTATCCACACAAAGCTTAGTCGTGCTATAGCAAGAAATCTATCGGATATTGCATGTGGAAATGCAAGGACCAGAGAGCAAAGAACGGCAAGAGTATTATGGAAGAACTCAGAATTTGCTACTCAGATCAATTAAAGGATCCATCAAGCTCCCTTTTCAGTTCAAAATTTAGTAGCGAAGGATCTTCGTTCTTAGCATCACAGGAGCGCTCCCAAGTATTTCAGGAGCTGTCTGTTGAGGAAGAGTCTAATCCTGAGAGCTCGCCTGTTCCTCTTGAGTATGAGTTTTGTAGGTACAGATTCATCAACCAGCATTGTACATACAGATGTATCGACAACAAAAACTTTGCCCAGAGAGTGAAAGATGCTGTAATTGGAATCATAGTTCCAGAAAACCATCAATCCGATCAAACTAGTCATGTATACATTCGTTTCCAAGTTCCAGACCTTCAAGAAGTAGAGATGATGATCATTCAAAATAATGGTGCCACTGAAGAAGCTCTTGGTAATGCTGCTTCTTAACTTATAGATGTAATGAAGCAATTTTATCTTGAGCAATGCTACTCTTGTGCTGATCTTGAGATGTACCTTGACTCTGATAGTATCTTCTTTGCCTTACTTGAGAAAGCCAAAATTGGAGATCAGGAGCAAGTGATCCACCTCTTTTCAATTGCAGATTAGTCGAACGGGGTTTTGGGGTTTTGGGGTTTTGGGG